TATGTTCCAACTAAATTGTACCATCATTTTCAGACCAATGATTCAGAGTTTAAGGAAAGGAACTGAATTGAATTTTTAATACATAGACATGATGTACTCTTTAAAAACTAAAAATTGTTACAACCTTTCAGACTGAAATGAAAAGGCCACTAAAGCGTCTTACAGGGTAAGTTGGCATGTTGCATTCACTAAGGAGGTACCCTCAATAGCTGAGAGACTAATTAGAACCCTGTGCAGCTGACCTTGCCGAACGCCTGCCGGATGAAAAGTCAGTAAAAGAAATCACAACAGCGCCACTCCCCTACGATAGAGTAACTTCTCAGAGACTGAGTTAATAAATCATCTGCAGAATTGCACTTCTGTTTTGAAAATGGACAAAACTACAGAAATGCCTGGACTTCCTATTCTGCTTGTATTTGTTTAGTATTCACGACAACTAGTCATCAAAGAAGTTACATGAACGCTTGACAAGGAACATAAGTGTTGCTGAAATATTTAACGTGTTGGATGCCTTTTTGAATCTCATGTTTTATCCTGGAACAACTGTGTTGACATTTGTATTGATAGCGCAGAAGCAATTGTCAGTAAGACTGCTGACACCTTAGCACGAGTCAAAGCAATGGTGCTGAATTATCCTAGTGGTCACTGCATTCTCTACTGCCGCCCCCCGCAGACAGCCGGTGTCACTGAAGAATGTGCTTGAGGAGGCAGTAAAAATTATTAATGCTATTGAACTTCAACCCTTAAGTATTTAATATTTAACTCAATATTTGCACGATGAAATGAGAAGTGTGCATGAAGCACTTCTGCTCCATATGGAAGCATGATGACTATTTCAAGGAAAAGCACTTGTGCAATTGTTCATATTAGCCACATTTTTCACGGAACCCCATTTTTACTTGAAAGAATGACTGGCAGACAAACAGGTTTCAGACTTGGGTATCTCACAGACATTTCTCGAAAATGAATGAAGTGAGTCTTTCACTTGAAGAAAAATTGGTATCATCTATGTCAATAAGAAAATGTGAGTTTTCAAATAAAAATTTAAATTTTGGAAAACTTGTGTCTGCCACCATGAGCTTGACAGCTTCTCAATACTTAAAGACTTTTATGATGAGATGGGGGGTGATATTAACAAATGTGCTGTTTGATAATTTATGAAAAGTGCCAACAGTTAGAATATTTGCATAACTCAGTGAAGCAGTATTTTCCAAACAACCAATGCGTGATGTTACAAAATCATACACGGGTAAAATATCCATTCAAAATGCAAGACAGGGGGCCTGCCCAGTGGTGTAGTGGTGAAGTTCACACACTCTGCTTTGGCAGCCCAGGGTTTGAGGGTTCAGATTGTGGGCATGGACCTACACACTGCTCATCAAGGCACGCTTGGGGGCGTCCCACATACAAAATAGAGGACGATTGGCACAGATGTTAGCTCAGGACCCATCTTCCTCACCCCCTCCAAAAAAATGCAAGACGGACTAGTAAGCTTTAATGTAACAGAGTTGAAAAGTTCATTGATAGGATTTTAGATTCCAAATTGCAACTAACCTTTTAAAAACTACCACTTGTCAAGTTTTACTGTTGTATCAAAGAATAGCCACAATCATCAAAGAAACTATACAAATACTCCTCCTTTTCCAAGGCATATCTGTATGAAACCAGATTTTCTTCACATCACAACAGGTTGCAGAAACAGATAAGAGAATCCAGCTGTCTTCCATTAAGCCAGTCATTAAAGAGCTTTGCAGAACTGTAAAGCGATGCCACTCTTCTCTCTAATTTTTTTGTTTCATAATATATATTTCACAAAACATGGTATTTATGTGGATACATAACGAAATTATTTTAAAGGAAGTAATGAATAAATATTTAAAATTTTTCTCAGTCTTAATTTCTTATATAGAAAATATATATAGATAAAACCCACAGAAACAAAAGACCTTTCAGACAGTCAATGATTTTTTAAGAGTGTAAAGGGGTTTTACTCAACAGTTTGGGGATCATTGGTTTCGCCCACAGGGAGCAGGGCTGGTGGCAGAGTGGGAGATTTAGGAGCATACGGAAGATTTTAAAAAGCCATTGAGTTTTTTTCCTTATAACTTCAGAATATTAAAAAACATAAAGTTCTACCAGAGAGTTTCTATAGGTTGGTTTGGGTAAATGGTTTTTTACCAGCTTAGCCAAGGGAGCAGGATGGCATGTCAGAGTTAGATGAACCCACACTTGAATTCTGGCTGCGGTAACCACAGGGAAATCACCAAAATTCCTACCCTCAGTTTTTGGATCTGAAGAGATAATAATATCTTAGATGAGTTACTGTGAGGATAAAACTTCATGTAAATCGTTGCCTCTTAAAATGTGTTCTGTGGACCGACAGGGGGTTAGCAATGCTGAAAGCCCAAAGCTCTGAATCATGATCTGCATTTTGATGAGATTCCCAGGTGACCTTATGCACAGCAAAGCTTGAGAAGCACTCCCGTAAGACGCCTTGCAGAATGCTTGCCTGTCGCATAATAGGCGCTCAATAAAAACTCTCTTTCTGTTCCAAAATTTGTTTATTATTCTTCAGCTTATAGATACAACTATTTCATCCTCTTCGACTAAAGGAATTGGTTTGATTTTTAAAAACACATCTGACCAGTTAATTTAGTTTCTTTTTCTTTATTGTCAGCCTAAGTAATCCTTCAACTCATTTGAAAGATTTGTAACTTCTAGACCTCTGGTCTACACTCTAGACCTGTTAATTTGTTTACTCACTCAGCACACATCAAGCACCCAATATGTGTCAGGGACTATGATGACACTAGGGAAACAGAATGCAAAACTGAGGTGGTCCTCATCCTTGTGATGCTGGGCTAAAAGAGACACTAAAATGAGCCAAAATGTGGCATTTGTAGTTCTCAAGAAGTAAGACTTTGTCGATATAGGGGAGTAGCATACACTTTTTAAAAATCTCCAGAGTTTTTTTCCTTTCTGGGGTTTTTCTAAACTTTTATTAATGTAGAAAAACCTTACTTACACCATATAATGCTTCTTGCTTTGAATGCTACCTTGTCTTTTGATAGTATTGCTGACCTCAAATTTTTTTACTCACCTGCCAAAATTTTGACCATTGCTGGATTAATTCTTCTAACACGTGAGTTACTTTTCCAATTTACTTCAAAAAAATTTTTAATTAAGTTTAGAAAAACACACAACGTGCCATCTTAACCATTTTTAATTTGCAGTGCAGTCGTAACTATATTCACATTGTTGTGAACAAATCTCTAGAACTTTTTCATCTTGTAAAACTGAAACTCTGTACCCACTGAACAACAACTCCCTGTCACCCCCTCACTCCAGCCCTTGGCTGCCAAAATTCTTTCTGGTTCTATGAGTTTGACTCTGTTAGATACCTCATATAAGTGGAATCACAGAGCGCTTGGTTTTTTATCGCTATCTTAGTTCACTTAGCATAATGTCCTCAAGGTTCATTCACGTTGAGCACGTGACAGGGTTCTTTTCTTTTTAAGGCTGAATAATATTCCATCGTGTGAAAACCATCTTTTCTTTATCCGTTCATCCATCGGGGGACATTTGGGTTGCGGAAGCTATTGTGCATAATGTGGAGGATGTGACTGTGAATACCTCTTGGCTATCGTGAAAATGCTGCAATGACGGCAGGTGTGCCTCCAGGGTCCACTGACTCCAGACGTAGACACTTATCTGTCCCCGTGCCTGAAAATAGTTCCTGACTGCACAGCAGAACTGCAGGCTAGAGCCGGCAGGGAGGGAAAGGGGGCCACTTCTGGTCAGATCCCATCTCTGGCTGTTCCGGGTGCAGCAGAGGGAAGGAGAAAATAGCCTGAATCACTCAGAGCAGAGAGTTTCCTGTCTGAACAGAAGGCACTAACTTGAACTGAAGGCCAACCACATGCAGGACACCAGGCTAGGCACTTTGGTGTGTGAGGGAGGATATGCGGGAGGTTTCTTCAATTAAGATAATTATGACAATAAAGATAAATTTTTTCACATTCCCATGATTATGTATAAACAGGAACGAAAACAGTGACCACCAACATCATGAATGGGCCCAGCAGGGGAGGATATCAGATCCTTAGCATGGACGGGGCTTGTGTTAGTGGAAAAGAGTTAGTTGGGAATGGAATATATTCAAATTTCAAATATAATACAAAGTACTGAAATTTAAGCTTAATGAAGAAATGTGGGTCTGTGTGGCTGATGCAGCAGAGGTCATCTCTGACAGGACACAAGAGCCCCGGGCAGGGTCCTAACTGACGCTCCTCCCTCCCTAGGTTTCCGGCTAAACAAACCACTTCTGCTGAAAGCTGGTCTTTAAAGAACTGTAGTTTCACCTGGGGGCCCCAGAGTCTGTATCTGGGCTCCCAAGTCGCACCTGTAGATGACATTCCTAAGAAAATCAGTTCATACACAAAAGTCAAGACCAACTTTGAGCTTCCCTGGGGACTAGGAACATGCCTTCCAGGAGGCAAAGGAAACCATTGCAAACTGGAACTGTTTACCCTGACTTCCACTGCTTTCTTTAAGTCTATCATCTCAGTCCTTAGAGAAGGGAAGGAATACTGCAGACTCAAGTTGTTGGTACCACTTTCCTGGAGGTACTGTTTTTGTTACCACAGCAAACATGGTTATTTCGTGGTCCAGGGAAGCAGAAAAAGCATTGGCCCGACGGTGTGAGATGGGTTCTAGTTCCAGTTTGGCCGCCAACTAGCTGGGTGGCTTCAGACAGGTGCCTTCCATCCTGGGATATGAGCTTACCTTCTGTAAGTTCCAGCAGCACTGGCACGAGCACAGCTCCAGCCCTTCCAGCTCTAACGTTCTGTGAGTGAACGGTATCATTTGACCACTGCATCCATTCTACCTTTTATTTGGCCTTTGTTCATTTGATACATATATACATATATAAAAATCTGTACATGGTAAAAATACAAAATAAGTATGTCTTTATAAGTTATGCAAATAAAAAGCTAGCTTTTTAAAGTTTAAAAATCATTGCAAAAAAAAGGGGAGGGAAATCTAGTCAGTCCTTTATAGTCATTCACAATAACCTTGGTATAAAATATCCATACAACACATGTGTACAAAATAGTGTACAGTTCATAAGAGCTGTGCAAAGACAGCAAAGTTCAGTAAGGAAAAAAATCAAAGAGGCTTGTGGGTCTGTCTCTGTTCGCATCACACCCAGTGCTCAGGAGCTTTCCAGCTCGATGAAACTACCCCAGAAAGAACGAAAGGGCACAAGGTGGAGTGCTTGGTGCATATACGATGGGTGCAGAAACTATACAGAAAAAGCTTTAGAACACACATACAGAAATAGATACTGACTCTTCCTCCCATTCAGAGAACTCACTTCTTTGCCCAGAAAACATTTGGAATATGACAGAAAAGACTCAGTATTTATGTTCTGCCTGAGACCAGAAGGCACAGAGAGATATTTTTCCTTTTCTGAAGTTCTTGAGCTTTCTAAGGGCACTGCTCTGGGAGGACTGGGTTACCGCGGCTGGAGTGAGATGGGAGGCCCTTGCTACCCACGACAGGGAGCCAGAGGGATCCAGGACGTGAGCGGTCTTGGAGTTCACGCTTGATGGTTTGACTCCTAGCTCTCCTCCATAAAAAGGTTTCCTTCCTTAGAGGGTTGCGGCTGCTTGAGACCAGCGGGGCCTGGTTCACCGCTAACCCCAGGCTGTGGGCGTGGAGACCCCCCGCTGTGCTTACATTAGCTTGCAAGAAACAAGACTAACTCGGGTGAAACAGTTGCGGCTGGGACCAAGACCTAAATTTAACTTAGGTGGACAGGGCTGTTGGCAGGTGGTGTGGGGGAAAGAAATGTCATTTTGGGCAATGCAAGGGGCTGTGCACCCTTGACGAGGCGACAGTTCGACAGTGGGCAGCGGCGGCGTCTGGGCAGCGGGGACTGAGTGAACGCGCAGACTGGATCCCACCTCTTCAATTTCAAAGCACTTAGCTACAGCACCCGGGGTGCGGGAGGCTTCTAGGACACGGTGATCTCCTCCTCCTCGCCCTCCTCGTCCTCCTCGGAGTCGGAGAAGTCCGAAGGTTTGCCGGGGCTGCTCGAGTGCGCGGGCGAGGGGGACAGCGGCCCTTCGAGCCGCGGGTCCTGCAGGTGCCGAGGGTCCGGGGACGCGCGATAGGCCATGCGGGGGCGGGGGCTGCCCCGGCCCTCGTCCTCCTCCTCGTCGTCCCCTGGGCCCTTCTGGCCCACGTCGCTGAGGTCCGGGTGTGGATTGAGTTTGGTGGGAAGGGTCTGCTCGCGGCAGCCCCCGCTAGACAGTAGCTCCCGCTCCTTGGAGTTCCGCCACTTCATGCGTCGGTTCTGGAACCAGATTTTCACCTGCGGCGGAGGGAGAGAGCAAGCAGGGCAGAAGCCGAGGTTAGCGCGGACCCTCCCCGCAAGGCCCGGGGAGGGGAGCCGGCAGGACCACGGGGCTGGGAAGGAGGCTCTCTCCTGTTTCCCCTCCTTGCCCGCTCCCCACCCCCTGAAGTGACTTCAGATGGGTCACCCCACCCTCACCCCCAGCTCCGCTCCTCGCACACTTGCCCCATCCCCCCATCCTCCCGCACCTGGCCCAGACGGGCGCGGGTGGCGGGCGCTGAGCCGGTTGTCCTGAGGAGCCTCGAGGAAGCTTGCTAGTACATTCACTCCCTCTCTAGGCCTGCCTTTCCCCATCTGCACAATGGGACCTAGGCGGTTTCAGAGAATTCTCCGGATTGTAGGATGCGTGGGGGAGGGGTGAACCGTGGAGGAGGGGCTGGGGGGAACTGCCCTCACCTGTGAGTCTTTCAAGCCCAACTTGGCCGCCAGCTTCTTGCGGTCCGGCTTGCTGATGTATTTCTGCTTCTGGAACATCTTCTCCAGCGCCTTGCGCTGCACGTCGGAGAACACGGCTCGACGCAGCATGCCCCGGCGAGGCTTGCCGCGGGCGGCCAGCGGCCAGGAGAAGGTCCCGGGGATGGGCACGACGCTCGAGGACGCTGCGGGGGCGGGGGGTAGCGAGTGAGGGGGCGGTGGCGTCCTCCCCGCCGCCGCGGCCGCCCTCGGTTTTTCTCTCTGATCCCTTCATCTCTTTAAAGCTCTCCTTTTTCTCCCCCTGGAGAATAGGCCACGAACCTACAAACCTGCGAGACTGAAAGGCGCTTTCCGCCCAAATAACTTTCCCTTTCAACCGTGCAGACCCGGATTAGGTAAAACCACCGACACTCAGAAAACAGCCCCCACAATAGGCGGTTTCGTTTTTTGCGTTCAGCGGTCTCTGGGAAACAAACCTGCGTGCATTAGCTAAAATAGCAACAGAAAATATACGTTAAAAAAATGAAAATATCCAACTGAGGCCACTGGGTTCCCCCTTAAGCTTTTATCACCTTAGTGGCTTTGCATTCTTCAGATGAAAATGAGGTGCTTTACTGGTTTGGTAGGGAGGAGAAAATCCGCTTTGGATTTTTTTTTTTTGAAAAATCCAATTAGTATTCATCTTTTTTATATTAATCTCTCCTCCCCTCCCCCACAAAACGTAAAGAATTCGGCCCGAATACATGAAAAGTGGCAGCTAATTAGCACATTGACCGCTTCCCAATGGGTATTGGCATGATAAAAAGGGGGAAGAGTTTCGCTTTAAGGGAGGGGGAAAAAAAACCCAAAAAGAAACAGAGACTCTAATGAAGCGTGAATGGTAATTGTGTAGTAATGAACTAACAGAAAAAGACTGAGGACAAGCAGCGAAAGCCATATATTACTGGAACAAAAGAGATTTACACTTTCAAACTAAACACAACTGCAGGCTAAGACCATTGGGAGAATACTGATGGCAGAGGCTTCTCCTCCCCGAGTCGTTTTCATTAAATGGACATGAAAAGCTATTTATAAAGCTCGGGTTGTTTTTGTTAGAGCATTGAGATGAGGGAGAAAGGAAGCAAATTCCATTATCAGCAGCAGCATGAATGGTGGAGGTGGTGGGGACGGTTGGTGAATTCTCTCCTCCTTTCAAAAATCAATTGCTGGTTTCTTTCGCTGATATTTGGGAGTGCGCTCAGTGGTTTTACCCATCCCCCACCGACCATGCCCAGTCTCTCTTCTCTTTATGGGGTCTCCTCTGTCTCCTTCTGAGTCTTGATCAGTTGCAGAATTTTTGAGTCATAGTTTGAGTCACCACTGGGATTCCAGGATGAAAACCTCGTGGAACCTGTTTAAGGTGCTTCTCTTTTAGACTGGACCAATTACGGGCTTCCCTCCGACTTCTTATTTCACAAGCTCTACGGTCCTTGAAAAGTAATGGCCGTGGGGGGTGGGGGGGGCGGGAGGGGGATGGCAAGCGAAGAAGTTGGGAAATCAGGTTGCAAATCGAAGGTTGGGGTTGTGGGAGGATCTAGTCTCCCTCCCCCTGGGCGACTCCAGGCGTCCCACACAAGAGGGCACCCCATGTGGTCTTGTGAAAAGCCCGAAGCCCTGAATGAGTCTTAAAGAGAAATTAGCCCCGGCTGGTAGGTGTCTCTTGTGGGCTTGGAGGGACGAGGGCCGGTCTGTGTGTGGTTGCCCGGAGGAGCTGACCAATTGGTCATGGTGCTGAAACCTTTGTGGGGAATCGTGGCCAAGTGCACTGACTCTGTGGGAAAACGGCGTAGTGAAGGGATGCCAACAGCTCCTCGCCGGCAAGGGAACCGCCTCAAATTGGGACCATGACAATTCCTGCTAATTTGTAGAGCAGGGAATTGGTGCAAAGTGTCAAGCAGTCACTGCTTGTGCTAAATAGGGCATCAAATTGGCGCGACGGATTCTTGAATGTTGTACGCCTCGCAACCTCTGAACCAGAGCATAACCTCGAGGGTGGACGGAGAAATATGGCTTTGGGGCAGGGAGCGATGGGCTGGGACGGGGGCGCCGCCCAGCCTCGTGAAAGGAATGGGGACGAGACCTACCTGGGAAATAAGAAGATCTGATGAAAGGCTGGAAGGAGCCTTCAAAGTAGGGAAAGGCGAAGGTCTTGGGAGGGCCGCTCTGGAGCAAGGCGGGGGATGCTTCTGGGAGAGGGAGAGAGGGAGGGAGGAGAAGAGGGAGGGAGACAGAAAGGGAATTTGATTACGGACTTGATTATTGTTCAGCACATTGAATACATGATATGATTAACCCTTCGGCTGGTTTCAAAGGCATCTTCCTCAATGTATTGAGAGTAAAATAAATGTTTTCCTAACATTGTCTCGTCTGTAGAAATCCTTCCTCCCCCCCCCCCCCCCAAAATAATCCTCAGAGTCGCCTCCACTCGCCAGTCTTATCCTAGGCGCTAACGAGATAGGTAGGACTGAGGCGGCGAATGAAAGAATTGTAGATCCATAATACTAGTTAAGCTAGTTAACTATATTGTCTTGAGTTTTAAAAACCGGCTCCCAGAAGGTGGAGGGCAGAAACCCAGACGCCCGGGGTCGCGCGCTCAGCTTCGCCGCGCCAGGGAACCGTGGGCTCTCTCGGACTGCAGGTGCTCAAGTTCATCCTGAAGGTGGGGCGAACCTGGGGGCTTTTCTTCCCCGGAATCGGCTGGACCTAAGTCTCACCTGCGCGGCGTGGTGCCTCGGGGTCGTGCGTAAGGGCGTGCGCCGATGTGTGCGTGGGTACCCGCTGCATACAGGAAACTGAAGCCAGAAGGACTCCGCACCTGGACCGGCCCTCAGCATTTTGCGCTTACTTACCGGTTCTGGGCGCCGATGAGAGGATGGCGTTTACCCCAAACTTCAAGAACGTGGGCTCGCTGGCAGGGGAGACGGCTGTCTGCGGAGAGCCGCCCCGCCGGGTGCCCGGACGGGGGGAGCCCAGGTCCGAGGCCCCTGTGTCGGTGAGAGCCGCGGGGGCCCCGTGCCTAGGGGGCGACATGCTGCCGGTGGGTACGCTGCGGGGCAGGTAGGCGGGGGGCCGGCTGATGCGGATCAGATCCTCCACGAGAAAGCTCGAGTGGCCAGAGAATGCCGACTGCAGGGACTGGGGCAGCGTTAAGGTGGGAGTGGGGCGTAGGAGGCTGGAGTACCCGGCGGGGGGCGCGAGGAGGCCAGGGAACATCATGTTAGGCGCGGGGCGGTCGGAATAACCCTTCTTCCAGCGGACGGAGGGTAAACGCCTCGCTTCCCGCCCCTCCCGCCCCCGCGGCGCCCTCTCTCTTGGGTTTAGCAAGCGTCTCCAAGTGACGGTCCCACTTGGGCGTCTGCGAGTCCTCCGTGGTCCTCCCGTCGAGGTGATGGTTTTATAGTGGCCCGCCCGTTAAAGCGCTTTGAAAAGTGACAGCTCTGACAATGAAGTTCGACAAAGTTCTCCACTCGAGCTTCATTCGCCGGAGGCTCTGGGCGCTCTGATTGGCGCAGGGGTGCAATTTATGACTGGATTAGTCTTCATAAGCATGGCCCGCACAATGGGCCAGCGACAAAGGCTGGCGCGCATCAATTCTGCATATCGACCGCCTCTTTGCAATACAGTTTCACCCGCAAAGCTCTCGCCAAGAGTTTTTGTTCCGAAGCAACACCCGGGCTAATTAAATGGCTATTTAGAAGTTTCAGATGACATCTTGCCCCATAGAAAAGGAGTTATTTAAAGAACGCACTAAATTTATTTGCAGCTCCCCTGCTGAGCCTGGAAAATAAATCAATAAATATTCATAGAAATTCATCTTCAAGCAATCAGTGAAATAACGCCCCCCCTTGGTGGGGAGGGTAATGGAAAATTTCAAGTCAGTGAACGTGAAAATATACTCTCTCTTCAGTCTCTAGCCCTATAGTTACTCCAGCTGAGGCATAAAGCAGATGTGAGGGGTGGGTTAAATTAATGTGTGTTGGGGGGTGGGGAGAAGTGCCATTCTAACAAGCTAGGGAGACTTGGAGACTGATGCTTTGGGGCTATCGGATGTGCGTCCGGCGGAGTAGGGGAAAGTCTTGACTTGAGTGATTTCATGCCGGGAAATGATTGTCTGAGAGTCGGTGGACACCTGAACAGTCAAATGAGTCTCCTGCCAATTTCCAGCAACTTGGAAAACGATTTTCAGCGACGTTTTCCTAGAAGCGTAACCAAGGAGCGCTCCGCAGCTCTTCTGAGGGAGGGGCGGAGCGGAGCATCTCACCCGGGGAAGGTGGCGGAATTCCGCTTGCAAAGGGCTTACCCCTGCGGACGCTGCCTCGGACAAGGAGACCTGAACTCTGAGAGTGCAACGCTGGCTCTTTTCCAACCTCTAGGAACCCTCGGCAGTTTCAGTTGAAACTCGCAGCCTGAACTTTTAAAGTCATAGCGGCGAAGGTTGGGATTCGTCCTGAGAGAGCCCTACCCACGGTGGGGCGCTAACTTGGCCAAGCTGTCGCAACTTCTTAATTAACTGCAACGCGTACAGAGGGGTGAAGACAGAGCGAAGGACGAAGTGCCCGAGAATGTTGGTCCACATCAGGAAAGCCTATCCTTAATTTGGGGCCTCAGACGAGAATCTTTCTCCATACAGTCCTTGGCTTTCCTCTGGGTTGGGGCTGGGGTGGCGCTGAGCCTTGATTCTCCCGTTTCTCTGCTCGGCGAGATAACAGATGTGTTAAATGTCCCATTCATTTCTTTAGTGTGGCTGAACCTCCCCAAAGAGAAGTGTGCAGCCCCGCCAGGCCGCCCTGATCCTATTAACCATGAACTAACTGTCACCTTCAGCTGGTTTTCCTTTTTGCTTTTTAACACAAAGCTTTCTCAAAAATCTTATTAACCAGCTTTATTTCTCTCGATGGTTTTGTTCAGGGCGTTTTGTGTTGGTGATCTCCATGTCGCTGCTTTAACCATTCAGTAAAAGTGCATCTGCGATTTATATCACATTAAACCAGAAACGGAGCCGCTAACACTCCCTTGATTCAAATTAAAAAGTTATTTAGGGCCAGGCTCTGGAGCTGAATTCACGCTTGAAGATGACGCAGGTATGGAGTTTCTGAGCCCAAGACTGCTTACGGACGCATCCTGGGCGGCAGGCGGTGGAACACCGCTAAGGAAAGGAACGACTTTTGAATAAGTGGCTATTTAAATATGGGAAAGGCATTGCTCCAGTTAATTGGGGAACCCTGAAAACTGAAGAGGGAGACCTGTGAAGAACTTCAAAAGTTCCTCTTTTTGAAGTTTTGCAATAAAATGGGGGAGAAAAGTCTAAACCATGGATCTGAACACTTGTACTTTAACCTTGCCACAATACAAAAGTTTTCCATGGCAACCACCCCCTCCCTAGGGGCAGCTGCTTTCTGGAAGCAGGAGGACCAGCTCTGGTTTTTGCATTCTCTCCTTCCTTCTCTTCTCTTCTCTTTTTTCCTCCTCCACCTCTTCCATCTCCTTCTTCTGTTTCACCTCCTCTTGCATCTCCTCCTTCTCCTCCACCTCTTCCATCTCCTCCTCCTCCATCTCCCCCCCCCCCACCTCCTCTTTATCTCTTCCTCCTCCTTCTCCTCCACTCTGTTCCTCCCTCTCTCCCTGCCCGGAGCAGTTGCCAGTGCCCAGAAGGAGAGCGGCCACCACTACAGGTTTCCTCAGCGAGGAAGCCCTTGCCCAGTCTTCTGGAAGATGAGAATGGAGCTCATGTTTGCAGGGTTTTGTTTTGGGGGTCAGTAAGGACTCAGAGCCAGCCTGGGGCTTTCCTAGCGCCCCCTCCCTTCCATAGCCCTCCTCTCCTGCTGGGGCATTTCCCTGGGTGTAGTTTCTAGTTATTATCTGCCCATTGACACGCTCCATAACACCCCTCCTACAGGCACACCGGCCATTCTGCCTCACTATAGACTAACTGCTGCTAACTTCTCTTCTTTAAAAAGGGGCCTTGACATTTTCTGGAAGGTAGGTCAACCCCTTGCTGCGATCCACGTGGACCCCGCTTCCAACAGTCGGTCTGCATAACCTCCTAAAGAATTCCTAAGGCGCCAAAGAGGAAAAACGAGGGCGGGGACGAGGGCTGGCCGCCCGTGAAAAGGCAAAATAAATGCTAAGGAAGCAAGAAATCGGACGAAAGGATCTAACTTGAAGCAATCTTCTTGAACGCGTCTTTTCAGACTCTGCGATAGCCTGAGGGGCTGGCGGCGCGGCGGCCGCAGCTAAGACCTGTGACTAATGCCGTTTGACCTGAGCCCGTGGGGTTCTGTGCGTCCTGCCATTCATTGTAATGTCGTTATCTTCAAGTTTATTTCGGAGAAGTCACCCGCGTTCTCTATCCCAGAGCTGGGCTTTCTGTCTATTTCTCTTTCAAGGGAAAAGAGAATCGGAGGCCCCGGTTGGGGTTAAGATCCCTGCCTGCGCCGCGGGCGCGACTGCTCGCTGGGGGAGGCCGGGGCTCTCGGGACCTACGAGGCCTTTCTGGGACGGCAGGAAGGGCTCTCGGAACCCGCTCTAGAAGTTTCTTTCCCCCGGGGCGGTGGAGAGCGGGCGGGTCCCAGCCCCACGCGCCGCGCTCTCGCCGTTGCGCGCCCCCTCCAGTGTGGGCAGAGCCCGAAGCGCACCGGCGAGCGCAGGCCGCCGAGAGAGGCGAAGGACGCTGCAAACCCCGCCTTTCGAAAAGATAACGAGCGTAAATTTAGGAAGATTGTGACCCCGGGGTCTCACTTTGCAAGAGTTTGAGCCCCCAGACCTCGGCGCTCGCGGCTGGAGCCGCCAACAGAGAGCGCTCTGCAAGTTGAGCAAGACGCCGAGGGGTGGGGACGGGAAAAAGCGCCCGCCGCCTGGCTTTTACGGTCTCAGGAAAACACAGGAAGCCGACAGGCTAGGCAAAGGAGGAAGGCGGCGAGGCTCGGGCTGAAACAGCTTTCCTGCGCCCCAGCCCTCCAGGCAAGACGCTCTATTAAGACACCTCTAAGGGGTTCACCTTCAGAATAGGCCACGAGGAGCTACCGGCCGCCCCAGCCCTTTCTAGCGGCTCCCCCACCCCTCGTTCCTTTCACACTCACTCCCCCCTTTTTCCTTGAAAATCCTTCTATTGTGCCAATCAAGCAGATGGTTTGCAGGAAATATAGCTTGGCCTCGCTGACCGAAACTAATTTTAACTAGCTTTCCAAGCCTGAAACGTTTGTTTTGCTCTTACAAAATAGCCCCCAAAACAGCTGGCAAGGGTGAATTAAACCCATTAAAGACACATTTATAAGAAATTATATTCGCATAGATTGCCTGAACCCCCTTGTGCAGCCTAAGAGGGGAGATGAGCGCATTTAAATGAAAATGTCGCCGAACGCTCCCCTCCTTAACGTAGCCTGAGTGTCTCAAAACATTTTACTAAATAGATTAACTTGACTATTGTTTTGCGTCACATTTATCAGCTTCATTAAGTGAATAGCTGAACAAATATATTACGCATGCATGAAAAGCTCTTTTTGGAGGAGCCTCATTGTATCCTCAGCCCTGACAGGTGGTTAACTGTGTGTTGTGTTTTTTTGTGGGTTTTTTGTGTTTTCTTTTTTTTCTTTTTTTTTCACCCGAAGAAAGAGGATCTCTGTAGAGCAGCGCGGCTCGCAGTGCCGGCCTGGCGGGAGTTGAACGGGCTGCTTGGACCCTGCGGCCCAGCGATGTTAACACCGTAAGGTGTCGGCAGAGGAGATCTGAGCTCTTTCAAAATAACCAAAATCAAATTGTGCAGAGCGGGACCTCGAGTGCTTTTTCTCTCCATAGCTCCATCCCCCCCACCCCCCCTTGTCTGAGAAGTTAATTTTATATTGCTTCTTTTCAAAGTAGATGTTTACCCCTCACTCTCCTTAAAAATAAATTGCCTCTGCTTTTCCTCCTTAACCGGCTCTCCGCAGACCGCGGGGTTAAAGATGCTTTTAACTCACATTTGGATCCGTTTCACTTTACTGTGTGTCTTTAGGTAAGGTCCTTGTCTCCTGGGCCTCAGTGTCCCTGTGTGTAAAACGAGAGATCGTCCTAGAGAGCTCTCTAAGGGCCCTTTCAGATCTGACTTCTAAGGTTTGAAAACTCCCAGCTCTTTGTCGCCCCACAGCGGGCCCCAGCGACAGGCACCCCCTCCCCCCCCC